GTGTGTGTGTGTGTGTGTGTGTGTGTGTGTGTGTGTGTGTTTGGGCGGGGGGGTCTTCGGAGTCCCCAGAGTGTGAGCACCCCTGGCCACACGTGGCAGCAGTGTGTGGGGCCAGCCCCACCTGGCCCTACAGTGTGTGGCTCCCACTTCCTGACCTAGTCCCTCCTAGCCACACACAATGGCAACATGGGAGGCCAGCCTGACCCAGCCCCATAGCTCATGGCTCCCTGTGCTCATAGGCCCCCTGCCCCTTACCTGAATTCCCACTCTTGCAGGGAGGGAGGGCTTGGAAACAGCCACAAGGTGACCAGGAAAACACTTCTCATCTGTGGCACCTGTGGCTTGGGTTGAGGTTGGTTGCTCAGCACCCAGAGTGGCACCTCCTGCATAGAGGCACTGGCTTTCTGAGAGGTAGCCAAGGGCCAGGGCCTGCGATAATTCTTTCAGCTTACGGAGGGGCTCTGTGGCCAGATGGGATCATTTGGAGGGCTGGATCTGGCCTGCAGGCTGTATTTTGCCCACCCTTGTGCTAAACTATGTTCAAGCAGTACACTGTCTTTCTATTCAGTTTCGACTGATTAGATTAGATGCGTAATTTCCGACATAATGTTATAGACCTATCACGCAAATAATTACTCAGGAGGAACTTTACAAATATTCAATGTGTCAGTTTTTTATGCAAATATGTATAAAATCATAGTTCAAATGTGTAGGCTTGTGCTGTGCTCAGGGAATCTTTTTTGTCTTGTGCTGTTCTTAGTCTACCAAGGACAAATCTAGGAATTAACTATATTGTGTAAAGAGCTTGCACAGGAAGGTTAGTAAAAGCAACTTTAGAAAAAAGGGGGAGAGAGAAATGTAAACACAAGCAATTTTTTTGTACCTTTATGTACTGAAAAACAGTGGTACTACAATACCTTGACCTTGAAAATTAAAACATGTAAGTGCACTCTAGGTGGCAGTCGCTTGCAGTTTTGCTGAAGACCAGCTTGCCAAAAAGGAAAACGTTTTTGTTTATGATACAAATATAATCTAGATCCATTTAGATAATTTACAAATTGAAATATCTGTTCATTTAAGAATTGCTAATTGGCCTTATATTGTAGTTCTTGACAAGTTGTTTATGATTGCAATTAGGAAAGGCAGGCATTAATGTCAAACCGGAGACATAATATAGGAATTTAAAAATCACTAACAAAAGATGAAACATTAGTTGTATGAGCTGACCATTCGACTTGACCAGACTTTCAAAGTTTTTTTTTTCTTTACTTGCACAGCAGCAATGGAGCAATAACAATTCTCTTTCTATTCCTTTTAAATAAGGAAATGAAGTAGTCCATGCCTCTGCATATCACCTGATACAATCTGTGAAACATTCAGAGCAGTCTCACACTGTGCAGTCTACCTAGAGATAATCAGCAGGGCCATCCTAGCACAGGAACATTCATGCTGTTTCAAAACAACTGAAGCCATTTGTACAAAAAAAAAAAAAAAGGGGACCAAGTCTCCAAAACACGTCACACCAATAAACCTGGTGTTTAACCCACTGTTGACATTACAGAGCCTTATGTAATTGGTGTCTCCCCTCTCCCCTACCTCTAACACTGTCATATTTGTACAATTTCTGTTTGAAATAAATGGAGCATTTCAGCTTTTATTGAAACACTGGACTAAAGCTAATAAAAGAAGATAATCAGATATAAATCTGAAACAATCTGCATCATAAATAATTTGCAAAACTTCTGACAAATGATGGCACATTATCCAAAGCAGTGGTTCTCAACCTTTTTAGAGTCCTTTCCAAAACTTGTTTTAATTTGGTGGCATCCCACTGAGAACCTTGGTTGTACTTCCTCACCTTACCACTGCGGTTCTCCACAGGGGTGCTGCCACATGGTCCTGCCTCTATTATAGCTAAAGCCACTGGAGCAAAGGTTTAACTAATGAGTTTTGTGCCCTGTGCCACAAACTGGTGCAAAGGGCTGCTCCAGCCCAGCCTGGCTTCCCCAAGCAAACTACACAAAGGGCTGCAGCTGGAGTGCACACTCTTGCCACCGCCCTTCCTGACTGGACCCTGCATCCTCCTCCCAGAAA